TCTGAGCTGGGGTGGGAAAAATCGGCCCTGGAAACCAGTTGCTTTTGCACCGGTTCGACTCTCAGACACTTCACCCGCTGCCGGTCCGCCTGGCCACCTTCTCTCCTGCCCACCAAGTCCTTCCTGAGGTGGCTTTTCTCCGAAGTTACGGTCGGTTCCTCGGCTAGCTTCTTGGACGCAATCCCTTTTTCCGGGCCGGTGCAACCGGGCCACGGAGGTCCCGAGGGGTCTTTGCACCCCTGCCCTTTCGGAGTGGAAGAGAAAGGAAGGTGAGCTGGCTGAAACAGCAACGAGGTCTTCACCTTGGACCCGGGGGTCGGTACGGGAGGGTGCTGCAGCCCCAGCTTGGCTTTTTTGGGAGAGCTCTTTCCTCCCACTTGGAGGGAAGGAGAATTCTGGATGCGCTTCGGAGAGGTGTGGCCTGTTGGCCGGTGCCTGTTGGCCGTCGGGGTGCAAGATTTCATCCCTCTCTTCAGCTCTTTTACTCTGACAACGGAAAAAAGCCAAGAATTACGTTATTCATTTACATATCGAACTTCTTAACTGTCCCATTTCCCTCATGTCGTCGGAAAGATGTCCAGAGCTGAGTTGTCTCCAGGTGAGACAGCATAAAATGCAGGACCCATCCAGTGTGATCATGGCACGTCCAGCCCTTCAACCGGAAGAAGCAGCTGACGGTGGAAGGCCAACAAATATATCGGATTTTAGGCAAGGGAAAGTTGGGAAAAGGTTTGTGTGGCTCTAGGTTTTCCAAGGGTTTTCAGAGATGTTCCAGCCCTTGGACGTTGAACCAGGTTAGGAAGACAGACGCCATAAACATCCTGGCATCTCGGCTTCCTTTCCCTTTGTGGCCACCCGCGAAAGCTGGAGATTCTGCTTTATAGGTAAGATCTCGTTGCTGAGCAAGGGAAGCCATTTGCGTTCCAGCCTAAAGTCTCGATCATTTTAGACCAGTGAGGGTGAATATTTTGGTCATGGGGTGTGAAAAATTCAGAAAATGCCTTTGATTCTGCTGATGTATTTACACACCGGGATAAAACAGGCTCCTTCCTTCCTTCCCTCCCTCTCTCCTTCCCTCCTCCTTCTTTCTTTTCTCCCTTCCTCCTCTCCCTTTCTCTTTCTCTCTTATCCTCCATCTTTTCTTCCCTTACTCCTTTTCTTCCCCTACTGTTTCCTTCTTCTCTTCCTCCTCCTCTCCTGTCCTCCCTCCCTCCCTCCCTCCCTTCTTCCTTCCTCTCTTCCCTTCTCCTCTCTCCTCCCTCCCTCCTTCCCTCTCTCCTACCCTCCCTTCCCTCTCCCCCTCCCTTTCTTCTTTCTTCCTTCCTCCCTTCCCTCCTCCNCCCTTCCTTCCCTCTCTCCCTCCCTTTCTTCCTTCCTCCCTTCCCTTCCCTTCCCCTCTCTCCTCCCTCCCTCCATCTCTCCTACCCTTCCTTCCTTCCTTCCCTCCCTCCCTCCCACCCTGTCCCCCTCCTCTCCAGAGCCTGTGGAAGTCACATAAAAGGGCCCTGAGCAGGGTCTCTCTCTGGAGCCTTCAAAACACTGCATGATTTTCAGATCTCTCAGAGGTTACATCAGAACAAGGCCAACCGCCGGAGGGTCTGGAGGCCTGATATATCCCCCAAGATGCACAGGGTGTCCCCCGAAACACTCGTGACACGGTTCCACCATCTTCTCTGGTTTGAAGCCAGTTCTGACCCTTACCTGTCAGCGTAGCGCAAGGTATTTAAGGTGTGCTCTGTGGCAATGTGGCTGGGTGACACATTGGCGATCATGCACGTCTTGGAGTTGCCCACAAAAGAGTCCTTCAGGACCTTGAGCGGGGAGAGAAGAGACGAAGAGTTAATGTCGGCTCTTTGGTACATTAATTACAGATAGTCTTTGACTTACAACCACAATTGAGCCCAAACTTTTTGTTGCTAAGCGAAACACTGGTTAAGTCAGTTTTGCCCCATTTTACCACCTTCCTTGCCACCATTGTGAAGGGAATCACTGCAGTTGTTAATTTAGGAACACGGTTGTTAAGTGAATCTGCCTTCCCTGTTGATTTTGCTTGTCAGAAGGTCGCAAAAGGGGATCACGTCACACACCCACACACCCACCGGGACACTGCAACTGTCATAAGTATGAGTCAGTTGCCAAGCGTCTGAATTTCGATCATGTGACCATGGAGATGCTACAACGGTCATAAGTGTGAAAGATGGTCCTAATTCATTTTTTTTTCAGTGCCATTGTAACTTTCGACAGCCAATAAATCATTGCTGTAAGTCGAGGACTCACTGTATTTCTTGGTTATTCTGTTTTAAAATTTTGAAAAATGAGAGAGAGAGAGAGAGAGAGAGAGAGAGAGACAGACAGACAGACAGACAGAGAGAGACAGAGAGAAAGAGAAAGAGAAAAAATGAGAGAAAGAAAGAAAAAAGAATGAGAAAAAAAGAGAATGAGAGAGACAAAGAGAATGAGAGAGAAAATGAGAGAAAGAAAGAGAGAATGAGAAAGAAAGAAAATGAGAAAGAAAAGAAAAAATGAGGAAGAGAGAAAGAGAGAATGAGAATGAGAATGAGAGAAAATGAGAATGAGAAAGAAAAAGAGAATGAGAGAGAAAGAGAGAAAGAATGAGAGAGAAAAAAAGAGAAAGAAGAGAATGAGAGAAAATGAGAAAGAAAAAAAGAGAGAGAGAGGGGGAATGAGAGACAGAAAGAGAAAAATGAGAGAAAGAAAGAAAAAAGAGAATGAGAAAAAAAGAGAATGAGAGAGAGAGACAGAGAAAGAGAATGAGAGAGAAAATGAGAGAGAATGAGAGAAAGAATGAGAGAGAAAATGAGAGAAAGAATGAGAGAATGAGAGAGAAAATGAGAGAGAAAATGAGAGAAAGAAAAAAGAGAAAGAGAGAAAGAAAATGAGAATGAGAGAGAAGAGAAAAAATGAGAAAGAGAGAAAGAAAAAAGAGAAGGAGAGAGAAAATAAGAATGAGAAAGAAAAAGAGAATGAGAAAGAATGAGAGAGAAAAAAGAGAAAGAAAAGAGAATGAGAGAAAAAGAAAGAAAGAGAGAGAGAGAGACAGAGAGAGAGGGGGGGGAATGAGAGACAGAGAAAGAAAAAAAATGAGAGAAAGAGAGAAAGAAAAAAGAGAATGAGAAAAAAGAGAATGAGAGAGAGACAGACAAAGAGAATGAGAGAGAAAATGAGAGAAAGAATGAGAGAGAATGAGAGAAAAAATGAGAGAATGAGAAAGAAAAAGACAAAGAGAAAATGAGAATGAGAGAGAGAAAAGAGAAAAAACGAGAAAGAAAAAAGAGAATGAGAGAGAGAATGAGAATGGGAGAAAATGAGAGAAAGAAGAGAAAGAGAGAAAATGAGAGGGAGAGGGAGGGAGGGAGAGAGAGAGAGAGAGAGAGAGAGAGAGAGAGAGAGAGAGAGAGAGAGAGAGAGATGTTTGTAGAATTTGGGGGAAAGCTGAGAGCTGAGTCAGTCTCCAGTAGTACCTGGGTCAGTTTGCTTTGTCTGAAGGGAGTGTGGGCGTGCTCCTGATCGAGCGCACGGATGCATTCTTTCAGCTAGAGAGACAGAAGAGAA